CTGGGTCAATTTTTCTCCTATTAATAACGTTACGCTTACTCAAGGCTTGTAGAGGGTTTTTTTTGATCTTACCACACAAAGCTATGTGGGATTTTTTTTTCTTTAAACCATTATGCTCCTCCCACACACAGGCTTGGGACTGTAATTGCACACCCAATCAATTCCAGTGTTATCCCTCTAGCATTTTTCAAATGTGTCAATTTTCCAGGTGTTTTCATTTCATATTTTGATTAGATTACAGAAGCCTTAAAAATATTTAACAAAGATGAGCCTCATCCTTAATGTTTGCATTCAGAATAAACCACTGTAATAAACCCAACCCAAGCCGAATACTTTGTCAACACTTTTCTGATGAAGATCCATACAACTGGAAATTTATGTGCAGAATGTTCTCCTGCCTAAATAGAAAACGATTTTTCGTTAACTACTGAACCCTGTAACAAATTATTTGTCTTAAAATTCACTGACAAGCAGTCATTCTCAAGTTCCACCTTTTCTTCAGTCATTAGGCACAATTTTCTTCTCTTTTTCTCTCAGCAGCAAAGTTTGCTCTTGTAAAACCTGTAATAATGAAGTGCATCTTCTCTACAACACGATGATGATGAACTAGTTATTATTTTAAGAGGATTCTAATTGTATATGTATGCCTTATGGTCCAAACAACTCCAGAAGTGTTTACCTGCTATTACGTACCATTTCAGTTCTCCTTTAACTAGTGTATTGGCATCTTACTGCAGACTTCAGTCCCCCAGTGCTTTTAAAGCTGTTCAGCTAGCCCGCCTTGAGACGTTGTTGTAAAATCTACAATGCACAATTACTTATGAATTTTACATCCTTTTAGCCTTCATGGCTAGACTGTTAATGAGGGAATAAATAGCAGAACTTCATTTAATCCCACAAATTGCTTAACATGAATTATTTAAGCAAAGGACATACAGCCATTCTGTTGCCTTTGGCAGAGGGACATCCATAGTGTTCTAGTTGCAACATCACTTCTTCCAGATAGATGGGTAAGGTACCTGTGGATGCAACATGGATCTAAATCCGTTTACTTGAAAGGAATAAAACTGGGGGGAAAAACAGTGTAAAGTTCACCTTTTCTAACTTGCAGTTTCTTCACTGTGACTGTTTGTTTACATGAAAGCAAATAGGCTGTCTTGTACCAGTGGAGAGAAGTAAATATTTTGGGGAGCAATTTATTTGACCAAAGACAGATGTTTACTCTGGAACAAAATAATTATCCAGAGTACATAAAGAGAAATGCTTATTTCTTTTCATTGGTGTCAGATGTAGACATTTCTAATTGGTCAAAAGAATTCTGCCCTTTATGCCGAGGCTGTGCACTTAACACACAATTTATCATTGCTGAGCTGTAACATCAGTTCTGTCATCCTTACTACTCTTACTTATTCAGTGAGACTATTTGCATAAAAAAGTTTTACTCAGCATGAGTAATGGTGCCAGCACTGAGGTTATGTTGCAAGTAGAGAGAAGAGATGTTTCCATTAGCGCTAAACCTTATCTCAGAAAAATCACTGGAGACTGGCACTTCCCAGAGGTTCTTTCGATTATCCTCTCTTCTTCTAATAATTGACTCCAAACAGTTCAGCTCCTGTAATTTGGTGAAACAGAATCTGTCTTTTTCAGAGATTTATTCATGAAGTCTCAAGAAAGTCTGTGCTTAGGTATCAGGTTGTCTGTTGAGATCACCAGCAAATGCATTACTGGAGAGCTGAGGGTGTTAGGGATAATGCTGTGGGATGTGAGAGGGCGTAACTGAAGATAATGCAGTAGTAGTGAAGGGGGTCATATATGAGAAACAGAAGAATGAAGAGAGAGAACTAGGTAGGATGAGGACAGTGGATATACAATGTAATGAGGAAAAACTCAATTAAAATATCTAATGGCCCATCCACTTATTTGAGCTGGACACCCTGCTCTGACTTACCATCATTTTGTAATGAATAAATGTATTTAGTACTTTCCTCTGAAACTGGAAAGAAGGAACGTGATTTCAGTTAGGTGATAATTCAGTTTATATTTGGTTTGGCATGACAATTTTATCCTTGGATGAAAAAGTTAGGGTATTGTATCATATGATATGACATGTCCTCATCTTTGCTCCATTTGGGACCTCTGCCACTGACAGTTCTGCACCGCTATGGCACTCTGGTACCCCTAGGATCTTTCCTGCTAAAAACCTGGTATCTGACTGAGCCTAATTCAAATCCCCAGACAGACAAACATAAGAAGCTGATCAGGACTTAAACAAGAAACCACAGAAACCTAGCTTCTGGGTCTTGTCCCATGGCCATGAGTTATCCAGGGTCAGGTTTCACTCTAATACCAGCATGAAGATAATCTAGAAAGTCAGTAGAAGGAAATCACTTGAAATGAGTGTACACATGTAGACCATGAGCATCCACATACACTTGAATTCTAAGTTTAAAATATTTTTCTCTAGAGTAATGAACGTTTATCAAGATAAGACTGTATCTACATCGCTATATAAATCATTGCTATACGGTTCCTTATGGACATATTAATAATCACCGGACCTGTGCCTATTGTTTGTGGACAAGCATGGGCCAGCAGGGGATTGACTTATATCGACTGCATTTATTTTTATTGAATTCTTTAGTTCTAATCACCTTAATAATAATACGTTTCTGCAATGTTTAGCCTATAAAATGTAATTGGAATAATTCTAATTACTCCAATTGTATTTTAACATCACCTTATCTCATTTCCATATCTTAACACTCTACCACTGCCTCCTTGACTACTGAACTTTCTTACTTTATAGTAGCTATACCTAAAAATGTCATTTTGCATGTCAAAACATGCGGTCAGCATGGAGCCTCAGCAAAAGTAACAAGGTAGATGAGCTTTTCTCAGGTACCTATCACCTAATGCTGAAGGAGTCTGGATTTACCTGTTTTCCACCTTCAAAACTCTGTGTGCAGTGATGCACAACTCAGTACTAAAAAAGAAATAGACCTCCTTTGGCTTTTTGCTAGCATTTCTGCTCTTCACATGACGCTCCTTAATCATACACTGTGCAGCCAAAAGGAACCCTTGCAGTCCTCTGTGTAGCCTCAAGCGTAAATCTACCCAGATTTAATTTCTGTTTGAACTTAAGTCTTTTGAGGGAGAAGGAATCTTAACCCTCTGTAACAGAGAGTTCACAATAAACATTGAGGAGCTACTCTTTCAGTAGTCTTACTGCTAAAGTATATACCTATTTCTAAACTACACTTTGTCTAGTTCCTTCTCACAGCCATTGGATCTTGTTGTTCCTTTGTCTGCTGTTTTGAGGGGTCCACTACCAAAATTATGCTCCCTTCAGAGGTACTGTAGACTGTCATCAAGTCACTCCAGTACCTTAACTGTCCTAAATCACTAGGTCTTCCGCAATAAAGCGTATTTTGTCTGTAGCAGAGTGCAATTACTCTTCTCAGATACTCCAGGCATGATTTTCATTGCAGGATCCTAAAGTGTGGTTTGCTCATAGTGATATTAAATTTCAGTGTTAATTTGTCATTCTTCTGTAGCCCCACCCTTTTCTCAGGAGGGAAAGAAGCCCTTTCCTTTGATAGTTTGCATTCAGACTCTCTTAATTTGTGTCACAGATGACTTGTGGCTGGCTGGAACTTTGTGTAGCTCCTACAAGCTCACTAGAGGGAAGGCTTGCCTTGACCTCCATCACAGTTCAGCTGCCTAAAACCAAGGGAGGTACCTACCCAAATCTGAGGGAACGTACCCTGCAGACTGTTGAAAAGAATGAACCCAAGGTGCTTCGAATAGTGCTTGACAGTAGGCAGAAAAATAACTATGCTCAGTGAAGGTACTGCTAATTAACATCACCATGAAACAACAAGTACTAGTTCTTCCTCTAAATGGGAACATGTCTCTCGTAACAGATTAGAGACTGGTAGCGCTATTATTTTAAACAGGCAGCATTTCCATTGGAAATATAACCACTGAGATACCACTTTATGGCAGTAACATCCATGAGAGTTTTGCCTGTATGAGGAATATCTGATTAGTACCAAATTAGTTCTGGTCCTTAGCAACCAGAAGTCGTACAAAATATCAACAGAGAGTAGTAAAACATACTTTATATGAATACTGTGGTCTGCACCTTACTCTGGCTGTGTGTAACACTAAGGTAGGGACCTGATGATCTCAGAGGTCTTTTCCAGCCTCAACAATTCTGTGATTTTGTGACCGCAGTTTAAAGGGCAATCTGTCCATGCGCCAGACCCACGGACACCGCGCTGTGTCAGTTGCAGCCCGCCAGGAAGGTCAGAGGACAGGAAAAGCTCGGTGCATCTCCCACCTGAGGAGCGATGTGCAGGGCTGCCGAGCAGTCACGGAGCAGGCAGCTGCCCCAGCGCCCTACCCGCCATCCGTGCATTCGGCAGCACTCGTGACTCTTGGGAAAACCGCCCGGCAGCCCCCTTGCCAAGAAACGATGGCAGTAAATAAATGATGTTGAAGTGAAAACATTTCCACGCTGGTCTAATGAGCTATGGAACAAAGCTAGGCGGGAATTTACCCCTCCCTCACAGCACGGAGCAGGCAGCTGCCCCAGCGCCCTACCCGCCATCCGTGCATTCGGCAGCACTCGTGACTCTTGGGAAAACCGCCCGGCAGCCCCCTTGCCAAGAAACGATGGCAGTAAATAAATGATGTTGAAGTGAAAACATTTCCACGCTGGTCTAATGAGCTATGGAACAAAGCTAGGCGGGAATTTACCCCTCCCTCACAGTGTTCAGGTGAGAATGCAACAAATGATCTGTACCTCTTTCCATCAGGAACACTTTACAGTCATACAGGAGTTTTTCTATAGTGGAAATTAGAACTTTGTTTAAATACGAGCTGTTTGTTACTAAAGGTTTTTCCTTTATTTTTCTTGAGTCTTAAATTTGCAGGATTAAAATCTGTAGATAACGCACTGAACTACCCTTCTTAGCTCTACTCCTTCTCTTGGTTACTTAGATCCCTATGTGAAGATCCATCTGATGCAGAATGGTAAGAGGCTGAAGAAGAAAAAGACTACGATTAAAAAGAACACTCTGAATCCCTACTACAACGAGTCTTTCAGCTTTGAAGTACCATTCGAGCAAATTCAGGTAACGTCAAACACTGTTCTGTCTTCCATCTGCGTTCCACTTCTCAGTCCTTATGAATATTTAACAGGAATCTTGTTAATTATCACGTGTGCATGCCTTCATTAGCACCTAGGTGCCAGCCCTGCACTACATTAGATGAGTGTGACTGCTTCAAGAGGGAAATGATAAAATGCACAGTACTTAGGAAGCTTTGATTCATCAGTGAGAAATGGATAACTGACATTTTCTGTTAACAGAAATGGATTCTGGAAAAAAAAAATCCTCGGGGAGATAACAAAGGAATGTGCCAGCAGAAAAAAAAAAAAAGTATAAGGATAAAAGAAAAGGCATATATAGCAATTTTTCCCAAATTATTTGAAATAATAAATTAGCATCATCAGTTAAATTTGTATTCCCTATGCATTTTTTGGTCGTGTTTGTTGAAAGCACAATAGCATCCCTCTTAAATAAAACAGATAATTTAATCACAATTTTTTTCAGTTATTTGCCACACCGTGAAAACTTTTTCAGTGATTTGAGAATCTCAGGAGTCAGTACTGCTGTACCTGTTCTCTTGGTATCTCAGGGGAGCTCCAGCAGTTGTCCAGGTGCTTCTGGAGAGTTCGGTGCCTAACATTAGGGGTCTCTGAAATCAGCACAGTGAGGTGGAAGTCACCAACATTAGGAGTGGGAAAGAGCCGGACAAGGCATCAGGTCATTTTTTTCAGGGTCTTGGTTACCTACCTTTGGGCTACTGGGAGGCAAATCATCTCTCATTCATGAGATTTTAACTTTTCTGATGTTAACTAGCCTTTTCTCACTAAGGGGGCCTGTTAGCTCAGTCAGTTGAGCGTGGCGCTAACTATGTCAATGTCGCGGGTTCGACTCCTGTTCGGTCCCCATGTGTTGCCTAATCTAGTCGAGAGGTGGCGTCCCTGGCGACAGGGAGGCTGGATTAAAATGATCTCTAACGTCCCTTCCAGCTTAGGCCATTCTATGATTCTATGATTCTTCCTAACCATCTCAGGAGGAATGTAGTTTTCCTCCCTAAGTGAACTTAAACGTGTATCTTCAATGTTGTACCCAATTACTCTTGTCACCTGTGCTCCTATGGCTTGTGTTGGGAACGCAACACTCATTTCTGCATAAATCTTAAGTATATGGTTGGCCAGAGAGCATAAGATCACCTGTTAATTGGGTGATTCACTTGGAAAGGGAGAGCCTTTGGTCTCAGGTCTGATTGAGGTGTTGTAAACCACATAAAGATCAGATGGTGCAGGCCTCCTTCATTTTTTTAAAGCCTTAAGCATTAGTGCTGAACTGTTTCATTGCTCTTCTCACTTGTTATAGCGTTTATTGTCAGGGCAGATGTACTGGTTTAAATATCCTCAGAAGAGCTGCATCACTGGCTTCCCACCCGCCCGTGGAGCCCTGTGACGGTGGAGCTGTTAAGCAAGACAATAGATTTTCTGGGTGGAGCTGAGTGTGGAAAGTGTACTTTCAGGGATTTCTTGGTTTCAGTGACCATAATTAAAATAGTCTGGGAATAAATCCTTTTGTGGCTTGTAAGAGAAGTTTGGGTATGAGTTAGATGCTGTGCTACCTCCAGTTTAAAAATTTAAATGGCCTGGTCCAACTGGGGAGCACTTCTTGATGAGATGAGGGCATGGCGTGGGATTTGAGACTCTATCTTAGATTTTGATAGCAACTGCACTGGAGAGAAGCACAGGAGCCAAGCCCTACATTCCAACTAAAGCAGTGTGCTTGGATTTTATTGACTTGGTACTAACAAAGGTAATGAAACTAGACAAGGTGAGCCAGTAGAAAGAGTGACTTGGGTACGTGACTTGCCTCATTTAGAATTTCTTCCTGCCCCACAGCATGTACAGGTGTCTGTGGACTCTAGGAATCAGAAAGTGGGAAATCCAGTGGGGCCTAATTCCTATTGATTTTAATGAAAGCTAGTCTGGGTGCTTGCGAAAGATCTCATAACGAGTATCAAAGGCCCAGAGGCAAAAAAAAAAGATGAGTCAAACCGAGCCTGTCTGGCAACATAGGCAACAAATGTCTTGATTTTGGGAAACTGGAATAGACACTTCCAAGTTATCAGATCTGAGCTTTGACTGGTACATTCTGTAGATACTTAGCCATTTTGCCATCTAATCCTACATCAATATTTTAAGGTGCATGTAAACCCTGTAAAAAGTATTGTGGTTTAGCTGGTGTTTGATTTTCTTAAAATACATATATTAGGATAACATTATAGCTATTTACTTCAGTATGTAGCCTCAATTTAAAATCTGTAATTACGGACTTTGGTCATAAGCCAATATATTTTGGACTTAGTTATAAAAGACCAGATTAGAAGCTATTTCATTATGGTTACTGAAGTGGTTTAATCATTAGAAAAACAGATTTTTAAATGTTGTTTAGACTTAATATGGTAAAAATCACTGTGGCTTTTGGGTAATTCTTGTAAAAGTCATTAAGTGAACTTTCACAGTCAAATAGAAAATAATGGGTATACAAGTTTCCTGACTGTTGGAGAGCGAAGACAAGAGAGCTCATGGAGAGAAAGCAGCTCAATAGCAGTACATCTGTATAATTTAAAATGGACCAAACATTAACATTTTCCACAATTTAATAGTAACTATGGATTCTGGCTATTAAGGGAATGAAAATGATGTCTGTAAGGGTAATGGGAGAAAACACCAGGAAGTCAAAGCCTGTTGCTACAAGCAGACCAAGCACATGTTTTGCCACGTGCAAGACAGACTGCCTCCGTAGATAGCAATCTCCCCAGGCCCTTTCAGTGCAAAGAATGCTTAATCATGCCAATGAAATTGCTAATCCAAGTGTTTATTAGCAGAGGTGGTGCTTTCTACTAGCACCTCTTGGGTTTTGCAGTGCAGTTCTTCCTGTAATATATGGTACAAAGGCAAAGAGACGCTCACATTTCTCTGTAGGTTTTTAAGCCTGAGACCAGAAGGTGAAAATTATCTTACACCTTTATGGAGCGAGGAAAAGGGTCTTGTCTTTACAGTGCCCATTGTTGTCTTATGATTAACACACACATAAACATATCCAATAGGAACTAGCCCCCAAGCTTCTAGGTACAGCACGCAGCTGGTTTTTGTATCGTAAAATAATAGGCTCATGCTTACTTTTTATACCTGTGATTGTACCATGCATCTAAAACATAAATGGTCATTTGGGAAGGTACCATCAACATTAAAAGTGAACGTATTGCAAACAGTAATACTGAAACATCATTTTGGTATCTAGAAATACTTGCTTCAGAATATTGCCTTTATTGTGAGTGCTCTGGGGAGAGAGTCTTGAGTTCGATGTACACTTCTGTCATCAGTGACTAAATAAATACTTTAGTGCCTGTTGAAATCATCTCTTTCTCTGGTTCAGAGAATTGCACAATCCTGTAAGGGAGTGGAGTCTATAAAGTAGACCTCATGAGCCTAGCCTTGCAGATATGCTTTAAAAAGTCAGTTACTTTTAAAAGATAATCCTATTTCAAGCATTGAAATTAAGCAAGAAATCCAGACTGTGCATATATTTAAAGCTTTAAATTTAAAAACCTGATGCTTGAGAATAGAAGATTTTTTCTGGAAGAAATGTATTTCAGGGTATTTATTCCTCCAGTTCAGGAAACTCATGCTGTAATAAGAACCTGTGTGTATTTATTGTAGGATAGAAAGGAATCAGGGAAAGAACTGTATGTTCGTCTTTAAAAATAAATCTTCCTTAGGAGAAGTGTTTGCAATTTAGTAAAGTCAGCCCAAGGCTGTTAACATCTTAGGTGCTCCACCACTCCACTGAAGGAATAGCTGTTTGTGCTCTTTCAACAAATATTAATGACCCAAAGGAGAGGAATGTGTGCATATGCACGCAAACACATACACAAACGCCTGGCTTGAACATCACCTCCCAGTATGTCCCAGTCTAAGTGAATGGAAAATCCTCTATGAGCTGTGACAGATGAGCTAGCGTGGATTTTGTGGGAATAGTTTAACCCTGTTTGTCAGAGGTCACCGTTCCTGCGACAGAAGTGGCACTCTAACACTGGCTCTGTCGCAAGCAGCGCCAGCCGGTGTGTCAGAGCCCTGAGACTGTGGGGGTTATACATCTTTCCAACGTGCCGGAGCATGCAGTCTCTTTTCTAGACTCCTATATGAATATAGACAATATACACATTGTACACACATACTTAGATCTGTGCAAGTGCACACACACAGATGAGTATGTGTGTGTATATGTATATAGTAATCATAAGGGCTATCTTCTGAATTTATGTGAAAATAGCTGATTAGCATGCTGGATGGATGGTAAGAGGTGTTTTCCATTTCTGAATTTTATCTGCTAACTTATTTACTTCAACGATGATGATGTGTTAAATTGCACTACTTTTGCATTAGCTTGCCTTAAGCTCTCCATTTTAGCCCTACAAACTCCTAGCCGTCCGTCTTCAATAACAACAACAACACACAAAAAAATCGATAAGTTATTAATCTGTTAAAGGAAAAAAAGAAAATCAACCTTGATGCCCATATAAAGCTCTGCGGTGCAAGGGGGCGAATTTCAAGTTAAGAGGGAGGTTGTGAACTTAATTTATTTGGAAGGCTGACAAGAAGCAAAGACAAAAGTTTGAATTTGCTTCTCTCTGGGAGAGCCTGCTCTGGCTGTCGCACACTTACCCCCTTCATGGAGACTCCACTGCTGTCACCTGTCCCAAGTTTCATCCCTTCCCACCTTCCCCTTGCTGTCGTGCTCACTGATCTTTCTCTGTCTCCTTGTAGAAAGTGCAAATTGTTGTGACTGTTTTGGACTATGACAAGATTGGCAAGAATGATGCCATCGGGAAAGTCTTTGTGGGCTACAACAGCACCGGCGCGGAACTGCGGCATTGGTCAGACATGTTGGCCAACCCCCGGCGGCCCATCGCGCAGTGGCACACTTTACAGCCTGAGGAGGAGGTGGATGCCATGCTGGCAGTCAAGAAGTAAATTAAATTAAGTTATGAAGAAGAAAAAGAAGAAGAAGAAGAAGAAGCCTTTCTGCATTGCCCACATAGTGCTCTTTAGCCAGTATCTGTAAATACCTCAGTAATATGGGTCCTTTCATTTCCAGCCATGTGTTCCCGACACAGATCAGTTGTACTTTTAAATTCCCATTTTTAATTTGCACAAATTTAAATGTAGAGAGCCCTCTAAAGGCACTTCATTTCACCACTGCCCCTCCAGATCTACTCTTCTTTTAAGCAATATGATGTGTAGATAGAGCATGACAGAAATTATTTATTGTATCACACAGTTGTATATATACACCAGTATGCTGAGAATTTATTTCTAGTTTGTGTATTTGTATGTTGTAAGCGTTTCCTAATCTGTGTATATCTAGATGTTTTTAATAAGATGTTCTATTTTAAATTATGTAAATTGACTGAGATATAGGAGAGCTGATAATATATTATAGGGTAACTATTGTATCGTCTGCATTCCAGAAAAAAAAAAAATTCCAACTTGTAAGGCACTAGTAGTGTTACACTGACATCTTAAAGGACAACTTAAATCTGAGCTTTCAACTGGACCATCCTAATAACACGCTACGCGTCCACAGTGAATCTTGGAAAGGCAAATCCAATTGGGTAGACTTCTTTCACAGGCAACTTAGCATGATCTGAGCAGCTCCGTGGCTGACCTCAAGGAGATGTAGCCAGAAGCCAGGATATAATTCTTTTGTATATATTCCAAAGCAAACACGTAACAGACTGAAATGGCTTTAGATTGAAAGTTGAGGAATCAGTTCCATAGGAGGCAACAATTTCATCTTAACACACAAAGTAAGACCATTGCAGAGGTTGTGCAGGGAGGGGGGGAAGGGAGGGGCGAGACGCAGCAGTAGCAAAATGCTGCCATGAAAACAAGAGTAGCTCTCCGTTGTTATCACCTTTATACAAAATTTGCATACTGTGAATTCCATCCACGATTTCACATTATAATGAGTTTGCACATTAGACTTTGTAACAAAATATTTTATTATACTAACTCAGATTAGAAGGAATGCAGAATATTTTTTAGACACAGTCGTGTGAGTTTATTATACAAAATAGTTTCATGGTAAACAGACAGTATTGTAATCCCATCAGAAGATGACAAAATTTAGCCATAGTTCTAAATGCACTTCAAAGTAAGCCAAAAGAGAACAGCTAGTGACCTTTTATATACTATTTATACTTAAGTTTTAATTTGTCCTTTAAAAAAAAAGTGAAAAAGAACAAGTTCTAGAAAACTGAAGCAACCTCTTCTGTATACTAGATGCTCGTTTCAGGAGGAGTTTTTAAATGTTTTCAATGTTATTATGTAGTAAATGGCACTATTATGAAGCTATTAGTCATTCCATAAGAGTCTTGAAAGACTGCTCTGTGTATCACTGTGACTGCCGTGTGTGCTTAGAAATGTAGTTTTCTCAGTGGATAGCAATCAATTTATTCCGTAGTGATATTGTAATAATACTGCCATTCCCTTCTACTGCACTGCCGAAGGAACGCATAGCACAAGCAGTTCTAGCTATTCTGGACCAATTTAGAACTGGGGCGCTATGCAGGGGACAAGGATGCTATACTGAATGGGTTGACCACGCAGCATTTTGTCAAGCCCTGTGCAATACTCGATATTTCCGATCTCCCTCTCCCACCCCCACCCCTTCCCCGCTGCTTTACTGTAGATAGTCACCTTACAGCTAGCCAGCATGTCATCTCGGCTTGTACCATCTCATCAAGACAATTAGGGCATCACTTCTATCTCACATACCGTCCTTTGAGCCCCCTCGCTTACGTTTCCAAGCTGTGAATATATTTATAATGCTTTGAAGAGTTGATTATTTTCAGCAATGCAAGCTACCCCAAAAATGTGGAAATGCTACACCTTTTGGAGGGAGGCGAGAATTAACCGTTAACGTTCTTACCAGTTGTACCTGATAGAAATCACTGAAAACAAAGATGAATGTAACCAGAGGACTGTGTACTTAAAACTAAATTCCACTGCCTCTCTCAAGGCTCTGCTTCTGGGAGAGGGCTGATGGTCCGAGAGGTCAGTACAGGGCTGGCCAAGCACCGATGTTTTCAGTACAAAAGAAGCAGCAAAAAAGTGAGGAGAGTAAAAGTCTGGATCTCTCCCCACCTCCAAAAGTGAGAATAGCAAGGCCCATTTTCTTTCTTTTTTACATGAAACACGGAAAAAACACAAGCGAGACATTTTCTGGTAGAAACAGGCGCATACATGCAAAGCATCAAGCTGGAATACTCTAAAATCTTAACCTTAAGGACCAAACCCCACCAAAGAGGAGAAGTAGACAGCTTTCCAGTGTAAGAGCTTCATGGTCTCCAGCTTTCAGGATAGCTGCAGGTTCAAACTGCCAGGCCCGACTCGTTGTGTTAAGGTATTCTTAAAGCTTTCTCTTCCTACACTGCCAGACTGAACGTCACCATGGGACTGGTTTGTAAGGTACGATGATTCTCAGAGACTGAACCTGCCGTGTGACCAAGATGACATTTCCATCCTCAAAGAAGCCACATGTACCTTTCTGACAAAGCTGTGTGAAGTATTAGAATCTGATGCTGTAGAAAGATCCTAGTTGCCTTTGTGTATATTTACTGCCTGCTTGAGTGTTTCTCTGTGTGGGTTTTCTCTGTATCTTGTAGAAATGTTTGGGGTGTTCTATCCTGCCATATCGCTCGTGGCCCGCGAGCTGACAACTTTAGCCGTATTTTACCTTCATTTTTGATGAGGTGGTTTATATTTTGTTTCACTTTGTGTAGTGACTTCCCACAGTAGAGTTTTCCAATTGTCGTTAAAATAACATACATATTACACAGATATTCAATAAAAATGTTTTATTTCCTGTTGATGTTCTAGCACTTCTCTTTTGATCTAAAATTTTGAAAAGACATTCCACTCTAGGGCTGTAGCACAATCATAAACTTCAAAGTGTCGCAAGTGTAATAGCATAGCACTTTTCAAGGGGCTGTGAAAAGCTGCTTTCATCAGTGTGGTCTGCTGTAAGATGGTCACAGCCACCTGTGCTCCAGTAGATGAATTCGCCACCTCTACTGCAGGTGGAGAATTTTATTACCTTGTTTTCCCAAGAGCGTGATTATTTGCCTCCAGAAAACATCATTCTCTATCAAAACATGGGCTAGTTTCTATACCGCAACAAAACCTCCCACGTAGTTACCTAGGCATCAGTACTCTTCAAGCCAATTGTGTTGGCGCCGTGGTTGAAATTTTGATTTGGAGAGAGATGGTACATTAAAGAGGTACTTCAGTGCTGGCCACAGAATCAAGCCTCTTGTAAACTAAAGATCGTTATATAAGAGCTTAAACTGTATAGGGGTAGTGGGGAGGAAGTGAATCCACAAACTAAAAATTATTGAAAATAACATTGTACTATGAAACAAGTTAAGTCCTGAGCCTGTGAAGAGAATCGCCTCCAAAAAAAAAAAAAACACAAAACCAAATCTGTAACCATGTTTTATGCAACTATTTTCCACAGCACTTCCCCCGCCAGCCTGGTTTCTTCCCCAGTCTGAAAAGAAATATGCGCATTCCTTTCAAGAACCACACTACGATGACTACTGATATGCACCAGTTCAACCACAGCCATTGTTTCATGAGGCCTTACTGCAAGTTAGAGCTTATTGTACATATTTTCAGGCTTGGTCTTTTTCCCTATTCCCACTACTCAGAAAGTGCCCTCTTTTCTCCCAGTTGTGGGGTTTTTCATCGTCTAGTGTCAATGAGCACCAAATGGACTGAGGCCACGCTCAGCAAGCGAGAGCAGGCCGACACCTCCTGGTGGACATGGTGATTTGAAGAGAAGCTACTCATCCAAAACTGTGAATGACTGGGATCTGTGTCTGTGCTTTTACAGAGGTGATGCCTGCAGGAGTGGTGCAGCGCAGTTCCCCCTAGATACAGGCAGGTACCACATTATGGAGGTATGAGATGCCGCTGCTCCCTTCTTCCCCCTCTAAACTGTGGCGTGATCAAATCAAGCACATACTTCCCTAAGAGGATTAGTTTGCTTCAGAGTAGACCCAAATCTATCAAAGCCAATAAATACTTTGATCTAGGTTCTATATGCACCAGCTATTTTTGCAGGTCTTGAGAATACCAAAATGACATCTTTGTCAATCAAAACCAGTTCTTCCAACAGGGCTAATCAGTTAAAGGCAGTCATTACAACTAATGTAAGGAAAAATGCTTCATATAATAGCTGTTATACTAAGTGGGGAAAGCAGCAAAAATTACCAATTTTATTCAGCTCATTTAACCCCTAATCAACTGTCAAGAGAAACATTCTTCCCAACTGACAGACTGTTACCAAAGAAAGGATCTCCGTCTCTTGATCACTTTTCACATCATGAGTCAATGAAAGTTAATTGCCTGTTAGTTATGCAAAGCAAGAATTAGAACATTATATTTTCTGATTACTCTAACAGTCAATTCCCTTATTTATTTATGCATTAGCATTTTCGCTCCAGGCTGCCAGTTTGGTTTCTTATACACATACTGACCTGCTTTTCAGAACGTCTGCCAAATTTCACATCCACCCCCTATTTTCTGTTTCAGTTCAGACACTGTTGTTCATCCAGTATAGTCTTTCTGTCCTATGCATGCACTATGCAAAAACATGCTGCGATTCTGAACAGCCATTTAAACCAAAAAAAAACCAAAACAAAAGAGTTTCATCTTCTGACAGAACCAGTCTCATCAGTTTGACAGCTCACATTTAATTTCAGTCAACCATTTCATATCTTTGTACACTCTCTTATTACTTAGAACAAGGAAAGCACACAGTAGGCGATGCACTGATGTTATACACCAAATAGAGCACACATGAGGGGTTTTTGTCATAAGCAAAAGACCAATGCACAAAAGTGGCAAAATATTCTTTGCTCTGCTAATCAAGGTTACCCTACAGTCCTGCATAAACCTCCCCAATTTTGCTTGCATTCTTCCAGAGCCTGGGGATAGATCTCTGTGTTCACATAGGTATACCTTCACCTAGAAGATTTCATGACTCTTTTTTCTAAGAAGCAGCAGCTCCCACTGGCACCAAGAGGTTCTTCCAAAACCCTGACATGGATCTGTCATTGAAAAATGCCAGATTGGGCTTAGGCTATATTTGTCTTCTCCCTTGGACCATTCATCACAAGGAGGAGGATGTCTGGCTGTAAATCCTGATTGAAAGCCTGACAGGTTGGAACCTGGAATGTGACGCCGAAGTCAATTATTTCACACTTAGTCAGAAACGTTATCATCCACATGTTCTGGTGAAAAACAGACTCTGAGGCTCACTAACTTCCATCCCGCTCAAGACAGTCTTTTTCTTCATGAAACTGGCAATATGATTAAACCAATTTTTCTTGGGGATAGTTTCTGTCACATTCACAGGGTCAAAATGGTTTTCATATATTTTCTTTCTTTCAAATACAAGAGTTGCCTGTATTGCTTAACTCAGTTAAGGATTTCTAAGGGAACTCTTCGACGTTAATAGTAAGTGGCAAATTGTTAATTGGCTTTAACTCCTTGCTTCATCAAACTTCTTAGATTTTCACTCTCTTCTCTCCAACCATACACCATGATCTGACACTGATCAATACACAAAAGCCCTGATGGAAGGCTATCAAGGAAATGAAGTAATCAGAGTGACTGATAGAGTCCTTTTCATTTAAATGAAGATTAAGTGGTCAAATTTCAACATAGTATAAGATGAAATGTATGATGCTATGAAGTTCATTGTTGCAGATGAATATTTATTAATGAACTAGATGAATGAGTTGACAAAATTTATCTGTGCTATAAAACTGATTCTTCTGGAACAGATCTAAATTATGAGTCCATCTTTAATTTCATATACCGAGAATCAAGTTCCCAGACACGCACTTCAACTCCAATTTACTGATCACCCAAATATTCTGGAAAGATTTGTGAAAAGCAGTACAAAAAATGTATGAAAGATGATCTCAAATGAGAAAAGAAGGTAGCAGAGCTGGTCAAGCCGTTAAGGAAAACGAAGGCAGAGTCTCTTTTTGTGCAGGAATTCCTGACAGAAAATAGATCTGTCTTTTAGTAGTCTTTAAGAACGCAATGAAAGATTATGATGAAGTGGGAGTACAAAAAGGATGTTCAAATTACTATCCTCATACACAAACTTCATATATGTTATTTTGAATATGTGTAGTTGTAGATAT